GATGTTTCCTTCAATATGATATTTCAAGAAATACACCAACAAACTATACAATACAACCTTTATAGCGGTCTAGTATACTAAACAGACGACACTATACTGAGAGGGTTCACCAAAAGAGAGTCCTTCTCTTCCAATATATCTTTTCATATTACCAACTTCGAGATGAGACAACAATTTATTTCAGACAAGAACAAACTATGAATGGTAAAAACAAAAGATAAGCCAAGAGGTAAATTTACAGAGTAGCAAATATAAACATAAAAATGACCACTCTGTTAATAAAAATAATAAAATACTTTGTTACAATATTTATAAAGCCTACTCCACGCTGACAAGCGCTAACAGCGCGAAACGCGTTCGTGGATGGCTTTTCTTGATTTATCAAGAAATTGAGTTGGTCAAATATCAGGGAACAGGTTAAATCAATGTTTAGTTGATTTCTGTTCCACTAGATGGCGCTCTGCCTTCTGAAAAGTACATGTGCTCCTATTCAGGATATGTCTTTTTTATTTATAAATGTGAAAAAAAGAAAATAATAAAAAAGGTCAGGTGTTGGTATTAAAATCAAAAAGGACAATCTGTTCAACCAGATGGCGCTCTGCCATCTAAAAATTCATGTGAATGTGGTCAAGATATGTATTTTGTGATATTTATAAATATAATTACAGCGACACCCAAAATACATTTCACTCATTCTATAACTGAGTGTTTTATAAAATGTGAAAACTATAGTAAAACATACACACTAGCATTATACTAGAAGTTGACGGTCGTCTCACTATGCAAATTGTCTGGCTCAGTGTCTTGTAAATCTCTCCGTCTAGGTGACGATATATCTCTATAGCCTGTTGAAGAAGCGACTTGCTCGAAAGCTTTGAATCACTTCCAACAATAAAAAGCTACGTTTCGACAAACAGCCTATTGTCTTATTTTAAGAAACTTGTAACGAAGCCTCTAAAAACAGAATTGGTAACTTCAGTTGATGTATTTGTACCATTATTTAGGTATTTTTTGTTGAATGATTTATTAAGTTAGATGATCGATATATACATTACCCAACACATGATTTCTTATCTCTTTCATTATCAAAAGGTTATTTCTAATATCCAAGGATAAGAAAAGAGTTTAATCCTTTTGCTATTAGATTTTTTTTTGTTGGTCAAGCATAACGAAATTCTCATTTAGTGTGAAAATATTAAATTCCCTGGTGAAAAATTTAAAAAGGTAAATATTGACCAGACGAGTAGTGAATGTGGCCTACTTCCAGCCCAATATGTAAATAACTCTGGTATATTTGCATATATCGCTGTAAACAACAAACTCAACCTGCCACCTTAGCCAAGATTTCGATTCACTACAAGCAGTCTTTAGTGCAACTATAATCCAAGAATTATTTGAAGTCAAATATTGAATGCACTAGAAACCAAGAATTGAGTAAAACTAAATATTTGGAGCACTAGAAACATCAGTTTTAGCAAACTCAGAACGTCCCATTCAAACAATAGTTTTGTGCTACGTACTTCACTCAATCCAGATCAGCTTTGATTTCATGTCATCCAGAAGACAAGTTGAGTTGGACAAGTTTGTTATTTACAGCGATATATGCAAATATACCAGAGTTATTTACATATTGGGCTGGAAGTAGGCCGCTTTCAATACTCACCTGGTCAATATTTACCTTCTCTATTTTTCACCAGATAATTAAATACGTAAATATTCCATGAAATCTTCAGAATTGGGCAAAGAAATGACTATCATAGACTAAATAGATGGGTTAATTCCATGTCCAAAACATAGATGAATTTCCCAAAGCTGGTGATGTGTGGTTTTGCCACAGACCCAAGCCGGCTATATTACAGGGACGGTCCATAGATGGCGCAGTGTTTTGTGTCTATCTTGATAGAAAAGATCGTTTTTATATTACTTTAAGTGGATTTACTCCCTGGGCACAAAACCTGAACTAACATCCTTTCCCAGATAACAAAGATGGCAGCTAGGTATGGTGTATCTCTCAATTGACACAGCGAGATTTCCCCAGATCTTTCTACAACAAAATGTTAAACATTTTATGTCTAAAAACGTGCGTTTTGGTCATATTCAAACATCATAATATAAATTAATTTCCATAATAGTGAGTCTATGTCAATTTTACTCTAAAATGCCATGGTGTTACGGATGTTATTGTGTGTGCCAACTTCTATCATTAAAAAACTATCTCTAAAAACGTCCCTACTTCAAATGATAAATACTTATGATAGGAAGACATTGGTGATGGTAAACCGTCCATTAAACTGGCGAAACCGCTGGGAGGATTTCACCACTGATGAGCCAAGCCCCTCCTATTATCATTTTTATCGTTGAAATATAGGGGGATCAGTTAAAGAATATCTCTTTAAGATATATATAATTTTAAAAATCATTAAAATTTTTAACGAAAAAGGGCACTTTAATGATAGCGTTTGAAAATGTTTCAAAATGGGAGATGAAAACAATAGGAGGAATACCAACGATCCTAAAAAGACATTTTAAAATCTACGTGTTATGCAAATATGAAGCTAATATGTAAAATTAGAATTTATTTAGTATTAATAAAATCAGTAAAAATATCCGTTCTAGTTATCAGTTTCCCCAGCTGGGAGATGTGTAAATATAGAATATTATTCTATCTGTAAAATATATATGCCCGTGAAAGCTTTAAGTATGAAAATTTGAAATGTTTATTTTGAAATTACAGACAACACGATGTATTGCTTCCCAATTGTGAAATATGTTTAAAATGTTTGTACATTTTTGTTCATCTAGTATTCTTAATTTTAGTAGGAACCTCTATAACTTTATTTTTTACACAAGTCTTTCTATTTTTAGTAGGATTTTCAATATATTTCTATTTTTAGTGGGACCTTCTAGAAATTTCTATTTTTAGCAAGTCTTTCTATTTTTAGTATGACTTTCTATAGCTTCTTATTTCTAGTAGGACCTTCTATCATTTCTAGTAGGAACTTCTATAACTTTTTATTTCTAGTAAGACCTCTTTATCTCTTTTTATAATTCTTATTAGAACTTTATTTCTGCCACTTTCCATGTTATTGGGGAAATCTGTCGCTTTCTATTTTTAAGTAGAATCTTCCATCACGTTCTATTTTTAGCGCACCACAGGGATCTGGGCTAACTATTCAGGTAGATGTGAAGTATTTACTATTATTATTTGTAATAATTAATTTTCAGGCAATGTGTTTCTTTTCACGTATATCACCAAAGTATATCTCTACAGACCTTACTGCAATGATAAAAGTTATTGAATGAGATGACTTTGTTCAATTAATTATTTCAAATTTTATCGATAAATGGCAATTTAATTTATAGTATTAGTATATTATAATGCATTGCCGCGCCATCTGTTATCAAAATACAAAACTATTATAGACGCGTATGATTCTTTTAAAAATTAAACAATTATCTACTGTCCTTACTGCAATGAAATATAAATGGGAGGGCCTGACTCATCAGTGGTGAACCCTTCCAGCGGTTTCGCCAGTTTAATATGTCAGTGATAAGTATGTTTACCAGATTTTTAAAATGTTGTATAGATGGCGTCTGGTTTTGACGTCTATTTTGACTGGAGAGGTGACCCTTGTCTCTTTAGATATGTAAAGTTGTCAAAGAGAGAGTTCTGGTTAAAGTGAGACCTATAGACATTAGACCTTCAAGACATTTCGACTGTCCTTGGAGATCGTCTGTCGAACTTGACCTAGAGACATGTGACAAGGTAGAAACTTACCTTCAAGTTTCATCCCAACGTCGAGGCACTTCTGGAAGCGACAGAAAGGACACCTCTTGCGTTGTGACTTGTCGATGTGACATGTCTTGTCCCCTACGCACTGGTACACCTTCTTGTTCTGGACGGTCCTCTTGAAGAATCCCTTGCAGGACTCGCAGGTGAGGAGTCCGTAGTGGTAGCCAGACACGACATCCCCACACACGGGGCAAAGCTCCTCAATCCCTTCCTTGGTGTCGGGCAGCGCTGGGACAAACCCACCAACAGCTGCCATCCCATGCTTGTGCTACGGGGGAGTTGCGAAACGAGCGGTACACACACACCTGTCGCCTCAGTCGGCCGCTAGGGTACCTTGTTCCCACCCCACACCACATACCTAACATTATCTACACCTTTAAATTCCACTAACACAACCTCATACCTCACCACATAACTAATGAAATAACTAAACACAAACTCACCTTGTTTTAAAACCATTTTATTCCTTTCTAAGACCTTTCTTTCAAATCTAGGTCAAACCTATTGATGAAAGTCATTGCCAGTTTCTCCTTATCTTCTCTTTACTTTTTTATAAAATACGTACAGAATGTGTAGTCCTCTTGAAAACTACAAATTGCATTTATACATTTGTCCTAAAAAAATGTTTAAGACAAATACATTTATCGATCGAACATGTTTTGTAACACCTTTACACTTTGCAACACATTTTTAAACGCCATACCGAACTTTTGTCTCAAATTGACTTTGAAAAATTATATATTTTGTATATTCATAACATTATTACAGTAATTACATGTATCGTAACATAAGTATTTATTTGTATTTAATATACAGTACAATTACCTCTCTGTAAATGACACCTAGTTGCAGAGTAAAAGTGTTCTTTATGTAGAAGTGTTACTGGAGAGTTGTTAAATAGCAAAAATAGTAATTTTGACAATGAAGAGAGGTGTCCTCTAGCTGGAGTGACCTCTCATGGAGGTTCTACTGTATTTCTATGTACGCATGTAAATAAAAACGTTTCCTTTTTATTATAAGATACATTTTTAAAAATATATAACACCACTTTTCACAGTTTTTGATCATTTTACATTTACTGAATGGTCATGTCTAGTGTTGTTACATTGATGTATCTGTCATTGTGCCTCCGCCGAGGGGATTCTCTGAATTGTAATAGGAGCTGTTAGTCTATAGAGAAGGCCTAGGATTATCGAGAGATTGTGGCTGTAGATGAAGTGGGATTCGAACCCACGACTACATCAAGTAGATCAGAAAATACCCAAATCCCTTGCTACATGATAAATTGAAACCGAAATTAAAAATCGAATCAAGACACATGATCTAACTAAATTGAAATTGAAAATAAATCACCAAATCAATCTTGTTACGGGAGAAGGGTTTTAATCCTTGAAGTCTGGCGTCTTGACCACTAGGCTATCCTGACACTGAAGTCTTTTTCCACCGAGATTCTAAGTCTAAGATATTCCCATACGATTGGGTTCTATAAAGAGCGAATAACTGGCACAGCTTCATCTATCTCTGTGACAATATGAATTTATCACATCACTATACACATAACTATGCATATTTTATCTTATTAAATATAATATTATTATCCTAACAATCTGTAATGAATATTGTCACAAAGTATTTATTATTTCAACAGAGTATCATTTTTATGTTCATATTTTGTTACTCTTTAAACTTCCCCTTTGCTTTGTTCTTGACTCGTTTGTAAATTATTGAAATGTTATCAATGAAAATCTCCTTACACTCTCCATGTTTCAAATGTCACATTTTCCTAATTATGTATCAAAATACAGATAACATTTATAACATAGACAGAGAGACTAGGTAGTGGGAAAAATACCATTTTTACAGTTAGCTTTATAATAGTTTAAAATGATTTACACACTCCAGGACAAAACTTATGGAAGTTGTACCTTTCAGCATATATATCGGTATTCATACAATAACTCTGAAAGATATTACAGTGACCTTTATTGAAGCCACACGAGATAACCAAGTGTGAACAAAATTGCCTCTGTCTCCTTTAAAAAATAATAATAATAGGCGACCAGCGACATCAAAGACTTTCCACTTCCTTAAGTTTTGTTCATGAGTGTACGTGTCGTTAGGATATAATAAATATTGTTTCATGATAATAACGGTAATATAATCTATGAAAAAGACATCTCCTTATCGTGCAACTGAAAGCTGCTGATGGCTTGCACCATCTGGTAATATAATCGTTATGTCGAATGACTCTACTTATTCGAAATATATATTTTTAAAACAAGAGAGTTTTACTGAGAAGGATTACACAGGTCTGAGCAATGAAGCCGGTATCCCGAAGTTCAACAATATTTACAGTCCAACACCACACCAGGAAATTGAAGGTTCCAATACTTTCTAGAGTTGAATTATTATGTATACATCCACACATATGGTGAACTTTTAGTGAATTATTCTGCCTCAATTCTACCTATCCTGATTATCATGGCTTGTACCATGTTTTCAATGGTTATTGACTTGGAATTTCTTATAAAAAGGGAGAAAACACCTGTTTAACGAGGCACAAAACTTCGCTATTTATCCATGCAATCAGGCGGATGGTAACAAAGCTCGTCGCATGCTATCGAGGACTATATCTCTAAACAATGGTCTCTAGGCTGGTTTCTCTGAATTTTCCTAAACTGGTGTTGTCACCGACCTAGTTCTACTAGACGGTGAACAGATGGCGAATAGGTTTTGCATCTATTATATTGAGAGGGGGTGTCATTAAATTTTTTTCCCAGCTTCCTCCCGTCAAAATCTGAGTTATTCTGGTAGCCACTATCTGACTGAGGATAGGCGCCCTAGGTCTGCTGAGGACTGATGAACTTTCGGCCTAATGACTATCGGCCAATGAGAAGTTCGTGTTTGTTGTTGTTTGGTTCTGGGTACAAGACAAGGTCGTGTTCCCGGGAGGGGAGTCGAACGAAGGCTGGCCAGATCACGGCGCGACCTCGCGAGATGGAAGAACTTTACTCGTTCCGTCTTATCTTCTGTAGGGAGGAGCAGGAGAATGGATGCAAAGTTAGAAAGACACGTTGTGTCCCGGAAAGAGCATCTCTAAACCACTTACAGTTGGTAACAAGATCACACAAGCTCATATTCCCCATATCAATTAGAAAAACCAAAATGAATCTACTTCTTCATTATACCCCCCAAGCATACATGATACATATAAAATGAAAGGATTTAAAAGCACGAGTGTTTATTTTATACATAAAACAAACTTGATGAAAAATATATTGGGAGGGCTTGGCTCATCAGTGGTGAACCCTCCCAGCGGTTTCGCCAATTTAATCCACCAGACCGCTTCTCAGAGCTCTAATACTGTATTGGACGATTCTGCTTATATACGCAGCACTGAAGGGTGGAATCTCAGAAATGGCCTTCAAGAAAACTATGGGATAAGCTTATAGGACAGTAGAATTACATTCAAATAGTAGAAGTTTGTTTATGTATAAAAGAAACATTCGTGCTTTTAAATCATTTCATTTTATGTATATAGATGGCTAGTTATTGCTTTGTGTTAATACATGATACAGTTCATGATATGCATGGTGAAGCGAAATGGCGACTGACTATATGGTACAGGAGACAACGTCTACACATTTGAAAGCATAGGGCAATAACGAGCCATCGATATATAAAACATAAAACCATTTACCGCCCACACATTTTTCTTTGTCAATTTTTTTTACCGTCCTCACTGAGGATTATTGGGAGGGTTTGGCTTCTCAGTAAGCAACCAAAATTCCACCCTACAGTGTCGGGAAGATTCGCCCAATACAGTATTTGAGCTCTAAAAGGCGGTCTGGTGGATTAAATTTTCGAAACTGCTGGGAGGGTTCACTACTGATGAGCCAAGCCCTCCCAATATTATAAATCGCAGTAAGGACACTAGAAAGCTAGCTTTATTTGTAAAATAAATAAAACCGTACCTAATAGTGTTATTTCTTATAAATCTAAAAGCAGTCCCGACTCTGAAACTTACAAAATTCCAGAGCTCTCCTTTTGGTTACCTACACTTACCGGGGGTGTTAGAATTGTGAAATCACAGGAGGGGGGGGAGTATTGCTAGATCCCCGAATAAAGAGAGAACCTGCTGGGAGGAATTTGCTAAAGAAGCACAAGATGGTAAACGCCTAGTGCATACAAATGTCTCTATTCTATGTAAATATGGAAACTATGCAGTTATGTAAATTATTCGTGACAATAATAACATTCCCTTGGAAAAAATTTACTAAAAAACATATTTTATAAGGTTGTCCCAAAAGTTCGTGTTTTTCTTAAAATGTTTTTTTTTTCTTATTACTTGGCGAATAATATTATTATTACGACGAATACATAATACAATTACTTTATACATAATACAAAGATATTATACATAACGGCGAGTAATATTGGTATTTCAATATTTTTTTTGCAAGTGTTTACGAACTTTTGGACAACATTTTAATATAATTTCAACTTTTTAAAAAGTTTCTAACCTATGCAAATATGGGGATATCTCAATGTTCAATTGAGCTATCTGTAATAAATTTGCCTACCATTTAGAACAAGCTGTTCAATACAAGAGCAGAACTGCTTAGAGAGATTGAATTTGGTGAAACCGCTGGGATTACAATTACAATTATTTTATTTCCAAAGCGCTATATCCCGCAAGGGATACTTGCGCCAAACAAGGAGAAAAGTTTAATTACATAAGTTATTTACATTATTCAACGCATGAAAACATTAGAGATCCAGATTTTGTAGAAAGTTTAGAATATATTTACAAAATGTGAATTGAACTTTAAATATGATTTTTTTATCGGAAATCAAATCGTTAAGTTCACAAACAACTAGTTCATTCTTCATTCTATAATCTTGAAATGCTGAGCAATAGCAATTTTTAAATGTAGAGGGTTCCTTTTCTCGGTACAACTCCGTTCTATCAGTTCAAACGTTTACCTGATGTAGAGAAGAAATCGAAAAGTTGAAAATAAAAAGACAAAACTTAGAAGGATGATTCCATTTAGAATTCTATATTACATACGGACAAAACACCCAATTCAAATTGAATAACTTCTTAAAATAATTCCCTATATGTTAGCAATAATTTCAATTGTGTGACAAAAAATATATATTTTTTAATTATCTCTAGAAGAAATGGAAAGTTTTGATGTTTTTTTTTTTGTGTGTTTTTTTTTTTAAGGAGACAGAGGCTGTTCATACTTAGTTATCTCGTGTGTCTTCAATAAAGGTCACTGTAATATCTTTCAGAGTTATTATCTGAATCCCGATATATACATGTTGAAAGGTACAACTTCCTTAAGTTTATCCATGAAGTGTATTTCTTAATATAGGTTTCCCTTGTTGGGGCCATGTGTGGCCTTCAACAGTTGCCTTCGAAAAATTCTATCTTTCAATATTTTTAAAAGCTTTTTAATAAAAATAAAATCGTAGGTTGTTTTAAGGCAACTGTTCACAAGGTACTTAGGTCCGAAAGCTATAGAACCGCGTGTAAAATATATATTTGAAATGTATTATTGTAAATATTCGATTTTGATATCGATGACCTTTCAACAATAGCAACAGTAACAATATATTTTAGAGGAAATACATACAGGATGAGACAGAATGTGTTATCATCATTTTACAAAGGCAATAAAATCTTCTAGCAAACAACATTTAGAAAGACAACAGATAGACTCCGACACGTTGTACAAATAAACGCATAACACTTACGTCTTCATTAAATAACTAAAATCTAAAAAGAATAATTATTTCCTCAAAAAAATAAGTTATGTATACACACACAACTCTTACATGAGGAAAAAACCATATAATTATCACTTTATTTTAATTGAAAAGTTAGAAATATAAAGATTCTGTCTTCCATCTACAAAAATACATTAACCTAATATATTCTCGATCATTTAATTTACCGCTATATGTAAAATAGGGAAACTATGCAAATCTATGGAGACCGAGTTGGAATAATTTATGTTCCTCTAACTTTCTTTGTCTCGTGCAATCCTGTGAAGCTTAACTGCAGGTGATGGGAGATCTGGTTGATGGATTGCTGCCAGTATTGGACTGTTGGTCTTCCTCACACTGCTCGTGGTGGGACAGTAGAAGACAAACAGGTTGAAGTAGGGTGCAAGAAGATGGCTCAAGAGATTTCCAAACGATTCCCAGAATAGCCAAAAGACGTTGTATCATAAGAGGATCACTATTACCTTCATCTTTGATTGTTATATCTGCTATGTAATAGCAATACAAACACATATAGCACATTATCAAAATATTGTAAGGGCATGGCTCATCATTAAAGAACCCTACCAGAAATTTCTACAGTTCAACCCTTGCCTTCTTATACAGCTTCAAATCTCTTTCTGAGTACGCGAC